TCTCATCTACCAAGGTATGTTTATTAATGTTTTGGTTTTCAAGGGTTTAAAACATGCTCCCAATAAAACCCCTTCTTGATTTGCTGCAGTTTAAATTTTATGTTCATAAACTGTGCACAGTAGGCATAAAAATCGTGCAGTTCTCATCAATTTATTATCTAACAGACAGCAATTAAAACCTGACAATACCTCTCCACTCTATCCAAAACAAACACAAATTTGATTTAAATACTCTTTAATCTCCTTGTGCAACATAATAGGCATCATAACATGAAGACTTCTAACACGGCTTTATAAGGTAACCATTTATAAAGCACACAGGTGTTAGCAGGAATCCTCTGTTTTATATTGGATTTTTCTTTCTAAGGAGGCCATACCTGACCCAGCCAAAGATGCAGCAGATTCATGAATCTCCTCTGAGAAACCATGTAGGATTTAATGCGTTATTTGACTAGACTGGAAAATTGCAGTTGCTTTGTGAGATTGTGCTCATCATGCTCAATGGGTAATTGGTATCTTTAGGGAAGTTTGCCTGTACTTGTGTGCATAGGGTGACAATAGGATCTCCTGATAATCCAACTGTTCCTATAGATATAGCCCAAGCCCTTACTTATGGAGACTTTTTACAGAATTGATTAGATTATTATCTTATTTAACGCTGGCTTGCATCTTCATACAGAATATATTTGGTAGAATGATAGCAGTCTGTAGACTTGATGGTGTTGTGTGGAATAATTAATACTTCATATGCCAAAGCGTCTCTGGGTAGTGATGTGGTTGTGATAGGTGGATATATTTTATATACTTTGCATTCAGCAGCTATGCTTTAGATCTGGAACACTGCAGTTTGTGAAGAGTTTTTAGCAGGAGATAAATATTTTATCACAACCGTTATTTACACTTAGATTATAAATTACTGCACTTCACTCAGTATATGTGTATATCAATACGTGTAAATATGCGCAACAAAAAAATAAGATAGGAAAATAGTCCTATAAATAACTCCACCAAATAAATAATATAGAACATTCCAAACATTATAGACTCCTATAAAGTGCCAGGTGCAAATCTTCAAGTGGTGTGTTAACACTTTTCACTACTGTATAACACTATCACACCTTAGATCACTCCTGCTTACCAGAACATTTTGACCCTCTGATGCCGAGTAGTCCAAAAAAGCTTCCAACATAGCCAGATTCCCACCGATGGGGAGCCAAAACTTCCTACTCCAGGTCAGATCCACAGGTCACCTTCCAGTTCAATGTGCCATAATGAAAGAAAACTATTAAAGTATTAACTCTTATTTATTAAAAGAATGTGATACATCCATGACATCAAAAAAGCAACACATACACAATCCCAGGAGAAGAGCGGGCTGCTTCCGGACTCTGAGACCATGATGACATTGAAAACAAAGTCACATTTTTTTTTTTCCCTTGGACTTTTGAAATATTAGTAAATCAAGTGTTTTTAAAAAAATGTTTCCCAGTCATTTTCCGTAGTTTTTATTGATTGCATTTTTGTAGAAACTTTTAGACTTGCTGCACTTATTCACCATGCATCTGTTTATCGACGTGTATAAAGCAGGCATTAGATGAGTAGTTTGTGTCTTTTGATTGACAAACGTTTTTCAGCTTGTCTGTTCAGCAGAAGTCTAATGATCGCCTGCTGTCAAACAGTGACAGCCACACATTATTATACAGTATTTACATGGATCGAAATTCGGCCAGAGCCTGCTGAATTTTTCTCTCTGTGGCAAGCCTAGAGTATATTGCTACAGATTTGGAGACCGCAAATACACATAGCAGCAAATGAACTTTGATTACATGAATTCTTTCATTTTGTACTTTTTTACCTCTGCCAATTTACTTCTGTAGAGTACAAATAAGAGACTATTGATACCAGCTAGTAAGTGGTTGTCTGTTTCTCTTAGGTCTGCTAGGGCTGTCTTGAGGTGAATAAGAGTGCACTGGAGGGATGGTTGGGGTTTTTTAGTATAATATCTAGGGAAAGAGGTTTCAGCTACCTAAAGTGTTGTAGCCAAAACAGAAAGTGAGCGGAAATCCCTCAAAAGTGAGGGAATCCCAGTTTATCACTTGAATCCCCAGAACTAGTGCCTCAATTGGAAGATTTCCCCTCTGTTCGCATGTCAACCCAAAATTTGGGATTTTTTTTTTTCCTTTAAATTGTTTCAAGAATTATAATCCAAGTATACATACAAATAATAGGCCAAGACCTTGGCCGAATATGATAGAAACAGGTCTTGGTAGGCAATATAAAGTTGCAAAAGTTCAAAATCATCATAACAATATAAATTCCATAGCCTTCCAACTAGGGAAGGGTTAAATGTTCCATACCCATGAGGAGTATATTAATCAGTACTCATACATCTGTATGGACTGACTAGGAGTAATACGAACCTGAACCCTTTACCCCCTCTAACACAGAGTATGAAAGCATATCTTTGAGACCTTAACATAGAGATAAATGAGAAAAGGTATCATGAAAAGGAGGAATAGAGAAACAAAGCAAATGAAAATATGAGATGGAGGACCGTGAGCAGCGGCAAAGAGGCTTATAAGCCTCTTACAGTAAAGAAACACAAGGCTTCATAATTCTCTCTAAAGGTAAATATGAACATATTCAGGGCAGGGGCATTTAGGGGTATCATTGAGCTCACTAGCAAAATGTTTTTTGAGCATTATCCAGGACACCTTTTGCCGAAATACTGATACAGAGGACCTTTTCCATGAGCGGGCTATGCTGAGCTTAGCAGCTAGTAGCATAGAGAATTTGATTTTTGTGCCGACCGAAGCTGCCCCTTCACCGGATCGTTTTAAAAGGACAACTCATGGTAATTGGGATACCAGGGCTCCTGAAACCTTCTTCTTTAGAGCAAAGACTCTGTTCCAAAAAACTCTGTAGTTTCGGACATTCCCACCAAATATGGTACATGGTGCCGGTGGAGTGGCAGCCACAAAAACAGCGACGAGGTATTGCGGAAAAATCCTCGAGAGTTAGGGGTGGAACTATATACCATCTGGTCATTACCTTCACATTTGCCTCCAGGAACTAAATGTTCATGAATCCCTTGAAGCCGTAGTGCCAGTGTTCCAGGTCCCTTTCTGAGTCTAAGTCCGAGTCCCAAGCCTGCATGTAAGGCATTTTGTCAGCGGTATCCAGCAAGTGCCTATAAATGACCGAAATCCTTCCTCTCTGACCCGTGTCCTGTGAGCACCAATGTTCATTAGAAGATATCTTAGTAGGACCTCTGGTCCTAATGACTTAAGGGAATGGGAAAGTTGGTGGAATGGAAAGGTCTCCGAAGGGGGCATTTTCAGTTTAGATTGACAATGTAGTAGGGTAAAGGGCCCCCTGGGGGTCAAGTAGTGACCTATCCTGTAGAGGCTTTTATTAAACATCCAGCGGAATGCTTCCGGATCCAGACCTGAAGGGAAAACCGGATATTTATAGATATGAGATAATGGAAGGAAAGGTGATGTAAGGTTAGGGTTGTTCCAAACACTGTCCCATTCAGCTAGGGAGTGTGATCATGTCGGAGCTAAAACCAGTGGTCTGCGCTTTGAGGGTTGCCATGTTTAATGAAGTCTGAAGGGACCGATTGTACCGCTGTTTTCTCCATATTTATCCATTCAGGTTTTTCTGTGCGAGAGTATACCACTGAGAACTGTGCTAGTTGGGCTGCCTGATAGTATAAGGCGAGATGCCGGAGGCCTAGACCACCTTTCATCGCATGTGCAAAGAGAACCCATTTAGACAATCTGTAGCCTTTGCCACCCCAAACAAATTTAATAATTTTGGCTTGAAACCTGGATTGGTCTGACCATATGATCGATATCGGTAAGGAATGAAAGTAATACCGTGAGTTTTTTTTTTTTTTTGTGGATTTTTGGTTGATATTCTGTCTATCATTTAAAATACACCTATGATAAAAAAAATTATAGACCATTTCTTTGTAAGTGAGTAAACTTACAAAATCTGCAGGGGATACATTTTTTTTTTTTTTTTTTTTTTTTTTGCCACTGTAAATATTGAGCAATAAAAGAAGCCAGTCTATTGGCCAAAATTTTGGTAATTTAAGATCATTGTTGATCAGTGAGATTGGTCTATAGTTTTCAACCTCTCCCGAATCTTTACCCAGTTTGGAAATTACGGAAATGAAAGCCGTGCATGTCAGAGTCTAACTGTTGCTGTGATCTCAGGGAGTTGAAGAACTGCTCCAGATGGGACGCCAAAGTTGGTGGGAATTTTTGATAATACACTGCCGGAAAGCCATCCGGCTCAAAGGTGGAGGAGCGTTTCGCCTATTTAATTGCCTGAAAAACTTCTTTCATTGTAATGGGCGAGTCCATCAACTCCTTATGGGGATTTATTTTTTTTTTACTTTCACTTTTGATAACAGATGAAGAGCGTGTGAATCTCCCTAATGGGACAGCAATAAAAATGGAAATGGGGATCTAATCCCTCTCCACGCAATGCAGACCTAAAAATAAAAAAGTTTTCCTTCTTTTTTAGTTACATTTTAATGCCAGCTCAGATTACACAAACTTTGTAGATGCTGGTGCCTGTGTAATTCTTTGCTGTGGTCTAAATGTTTTACACAGTTCAGTCCCATACTGCGGTCTTTTACTTTGTGGTTGGCTGAAGTTAAAATTTTGCAATCTCATCTCTGGAGGAGGAATGACTGGGAAAATACTGCCTGATATGCATTGAAGACATTACTTTAGCCTGCACAAGATACTGGGATGGTTTTTGAATGATAAAAGGGGAGCTTTTAATATAACTTATACTTCATTAAGGTAACATTTTAGGAATGTATTAATATTTGTAAAGATACTGGGAATGAGTGCTAATACTTTGTGTTTGTGCTTTCTTTAAATAAACCTAGCAATTTATGAACTACAGGATGGAGAAAAAGCTGTTATTTTGCACTTAACCACCTTATATATCTTTTTCTTATTTTGTTTTGTGTTTTTCAGGAATCAGCCAAGGTTTCAGAGTTAAATCCTAATGCTAAAGTATGGGGGGACCATGCGTTACATGTGGAATCCGGCAGAACTGCTGATGGGACTGTGGAAGAGTCAGGAGGTTCTCCCTGTAGCTCCTCCAAGGATTGGCCCAAAGAAGGTAAAAGAAAAACTGTATATTAAAAATGGTTGCGCTTTTATCACCTACGTTTTAAGGTTGAGCTGTCATGAGGCAGGTTCAGGGTATCCAATGATGACTTCTTGACAGTCTTGTCTACCTGACTTTAATGCTGAGCAAGCCAAGGCTCCAGGACATAGCTCAGGAAAGGAGTAAAAAAACAAAAAGTGGAAATACTTGTTTACACACTTTAGCTCAGTAATGCAAAACCTATTAGTCAAATAATTGTTTCCTTTATGACCGTTTTCCTTTTTAATGTGGCAGCAAAAAGAGCTGTCATGTGCACTTTTCTGTAACAGCCAGTCCGAAAGTGAGAATTGGTTGCTCTGTTTTTTTGTATTTGGCAGGTTGGGATTATAACTCTTCCTTGTACAGGTAGGAGGTTTAAATAGGTGGCCCCAGGACATGGATGGCACCCAAGAGCTCAGCTGGGTTTAAATTTTCTGTGGGCTCTGTTTTCTCTTACAATTTCTCTGATTATATTCCGTGAAGACTGTGCTATCAGTTGGCTGCATGCTAGCCACTGTAGCTCTTCATGCAGCTTCTGGCTGGGTTAACTCCTTGGCAGACCCTTGGGGTAGCATACCTGGACCCCGCCTGTTGGGAGATGAGGAGCTGGCCTGTAACATTGCATTCCACTGGATACTGCTATGGGTGCACCCCCACTCCTTGGTCTGTCTGGTGCAGAGCCTTGTCTCTGTAGACACCTGCAAGGGGTATGGCCATTGTGAAAGGTAAAGACACTATGGGGTTAATTTCTGATATATATATATATATATATATATATATATATATATATATATATATATATCTATAAGTGAGCAGGGCCCTTCTAACCCTCTTGTATTAAACATTGAGCAAACTGTTGGCGCTATATATATATATATATATATATATATATATATATATATATATATATATATATATATATATATATATATAAATAATCAGCAGGGGATCAAATACGTATTTCCTTCACTGTGTGTGTATGGAAAAAAAAAAAAAGTGTAATGTATATGTGTGTGTGTATATGTGTGTGTGTATATATATAATGTGTGAAGGAAAGAAGTATGATCTCCTGATGATTTTGAATGTTTGCCCACTCACAAAGAAATGATCAGTCTAAAAATCGAATGGTAGGTGTATTGTAACACTGAGACCAAATAACAAAAAAATTCCAAAGACATGCATGTCTAACAAATTTATGCACTGATTTGCATGTTCATGAGGGAAACAAATATTTGATCCCCTTCACAAAACATGACTTGGTGACAAATCCTTTGTTGGCAATCACAGAGGTCAGACGTTTCCTGTAGTTGGCCACCAGGTTTGTACACATCTCAGGAGGTATTTTGGCCCACTCCTCTTGGCAGATGCTCTCCAAGTCATTAAGGTTTGATGGCTGACGTTGGCAACTCAAACTTTCAGCTCCCTCCTCAGATTTTTAATCAGATTAAGGTCTGGAGCCTGGTTAGGCCACCCCAGGACCTTAATGTGCTTCTTCTTGAGCCACTCCTTTGTTGCCTTGGCCGTGTGTTTTGGGTCATTGTCATGCTGGAACACCCATCCACAACCCATTTTCAATGCCCTGGCTGAGGGAAGAAGGTTCTTACCCAAGCTTTTGATGGTACATTGCCCCTTCCATCGTCTCTTTGATGCGGTTCAGTTGTCCTGTCCCCTTAGCATAAAAACACCTCCAAAGCAGAATGTTTCCACCACCATGTTTGACAGTTGTGATGGTGTTCTTGGGGTCATAGGCAGCATTCCTCCTCCTCCAAACATGGCAAGTTGAGTTGATGCCAAAGAGCTCGATTTTGGTCTCATCTGACCACAACACTTTTTCAACCAGTCCTCCTCTGCATCATTCAGATGTTCAGTGGCAAGCTTCAGACGGGTCTGGACATGTGCTTTCTTGAGGAGAGGGACCTTGCGGGCAGTGCAGGATTTCAATCCTTGTCTGCGTAGTGTTACCAATTGTTTTCTTGGTGACTATGGGCCCAGCTGCCTGGAGATGGTTGACAAGATTGTCACGTGTAGTTCTGGGATGATTCCTCACTGTTCTCCTGATTATTGACACTCCACAAGGTGAGATCTTGCATGGTGCACCAGACCTAGGGAGACTGACAGTTTTGTGTTTCTTCCATTTACGAATGATTGTGCCAACTGTTGTCACCTTCTCACCAAGCTGCTTGGCGATAGTTTGGTAGCCCAGTCCAGCCTTGTGTAGGTCTACAGTCTTGTCCCTAACATCCTTGGACAGCTCTTTGGTCTTTGCCATGGTGGAGAGTTTGCAATCTGATTGCTCCTGTGGACAGGTGTCTTTTTATACAGGTAACAAAATGAGATTAGCAGCACTCCCTTTAAGATGCTGCTTCTAATCTCAGCTTCTTACCTGTATGAAAGACACCTGGTAGCCAGAAATCCTGCTGAATGATAGGGGATCAAATATTTCCCTCATGGACATGCAAATCAGTGCATAATTTGTTAGACATGCTTTCTTTTGATTTTTTTGTTGCTATTCTGTCTGTGTTACAATACACCTACCATTCGATTTTTAGACTGATCATTTCTTTGTGAGTGGGCAAACCATTCAAAATCTGCAGGGGATCAAATACTTATTTCCTTCACTGTATATGTATGTATGTGTATATAAGTAGCTTTTATTTTCTGCCTATCACTTTTCTTCAGGTGCTAAAATCCCAGGGCAGTACCACTATTCTTTTCCTCCTTTTTTTTTTTTTTTTTATTATCACTTTTATTGTTATCCCAAGGAATGTAAATATCCCTTGTGCTACCAATAGGCATTGACAGGTACTCTTTTCTGAGAGATCTGGGGTCTAATAGACTCTAGATCTCTCCTTTGCCCTTCAGGCATCTGACCACAGCAAGATTGTTTGTGATCAGATGCTTTCCCAATTTTAAAATGGCGCTGTTTATTTCCACCGAAACAATGAAATGCTTGTTGCTTCTGGTTTATTAGACCATTAAGATCATTGGAGCCATTCCAGTCTTTGATCAGCTCATTTGACCAGGTCATTTGGCAGAACCGCCGGCTGAATTCTCAGGTTCCCCTGTGGGAGAGGATCAGTGGAAGGGTGGGGTGAGCGGGACGTCCCTTCCTGCTCCTTGTAACAGTGATCCAGCGGCTAATTAGCTGCTAGCATTGTGTTTACATGACAGCCGACCACCAGCTGAAAAAACAATACCGGGATGATGCCTGTAGATTCAGGCATCATCCTGGTGTAACCACTCAGTACATTGCTGGTCCTTGTTGGGCATATGATGAATTGGGTCTGTGTACCAATATGACCGCAATGCATTCTTAATAATGCCCAAATTGAGGTGTTAGTCCCGAGATCCACATTCCACTTTGTCTGGTGGGGTCTGTGAGTTGCTAATCATTTTTTTCTCTGATCTTCAGAAGCCATCCTTTTGAACTTAAGGATCTCTCTTGTCTGATCTTACCCATAAATTAGCCTTTCTGGTGGCTATCACCTTTATGAGGACAGTCTAAGTTAGCAGCTTTATCCTGTAAAGTGCCTTCTTAGTGTTGTACAAAGACAGCAAGGCCTCCTTCCTTTCGAAGGTGGTCCTGCCAAATGGTTAGATCCTATATGCTGAAGGGAGAGGTTTCCTCCCCATCTTGTTAAAAGTAAGCTTTACCAGATTGTGTTTTTTGGGCCTTTCAGCATCAAGCGTAAGTTCCTTAGTTTTCTAAGGCTGCTACCTGGGCTTCTGTTGAAAACTTTAGGTTCTACCAAGTGGGTACTTAAGCCGCCTCTGATGCCATTTTCGTCCATGTGGTGCTTCAAGTTGCGAGTCCGTTGAGCCCTTTTTGGCTTGTTGCCATTGTTTTCTTTGTTGCCTGCCCCTTAAGTTGGGCTGCTTTTGGATGTCCCAGTCATAATCGTTTTTGAGAGGCCTGTGCCTTATACGGTTTGATTAGGAAAATTTGGATATCTGACTTAACAGTAAAATCTGTTGTTTTTTTTTTTTGGAGAACAGTACAGGCCCATTCCTTCTGTTCTTATGGTCTCCCTATGAAACTCAGGCTTGCCAGGATTGCGAGGGATTATATAGAGAATGTCCCTGCAGCCTTCTGTTTTTGCTAATCTCTGGTCACCTGAAGGTAGCTGCATTTAACAAGCCTTTGTCCTGTATGTGCTCAGGATCCTGGTAGCCAGTATTACAATAGGTGTCTCTTGAGCTTTTTCTTTTGTCAGTAGGAGCTTTTGGTTTCATGGTAGTAGAAGGGTCTAGTGGCTGCTAAATGACATTAAAAGAATTCTAAATTTGTCCAGGACAAATTGTGTGGTTTTCAGGACAAACACTGAAGGGTTGGGTAAGTGGAGCTTATATAACATTACATAGATTTTCTTCCTCACTTTCATGATTTTATTGAAGCTTTTGTTGGGGCTGCTGGGGGACTCAGACATATAAACTAGATACCTTTTCCAAACCCCAGGGTAGCAGAACAAAATGAAGGTTTTGTTTTTTGGACTTTGTATGTTTCATTGACTCAAACATTTTATTATTTCAGGACTGGATGCCAATGGGGATGGTGTCAGTGCAAGGTTAACACGAGACCCATCACCATCAGTTTCCACATCAGACCAAACAGATATGAATACCATAACTCTGGGAAACTCAGAATATGAATCTATGCATGAAATCTCACATTCAGGTAATGCATTGAAAATCACTTTACACAGTTGTGAGTTTAGCAGTGTGCCCTGAATTTTAGTTTAAGTGCAGCATCCCATTGAAACAAAACAGAACAATCTTGTAATGGTCTTCTGTAGCAGAGCTATCACTTTGTCTGCTGTAGTCTACTGCCCATAGGATTTGGCACTCTTTAATGAATGATGATTAAAATCATAAACTGAAACTTGTCAAGACAAAAGCAACTTGATTTAAAAAATTGCATATTCCAGGGCTATTTTATTCATCCTAACTTAATTGGTAAGTTGGTTACCCGAGAAAAATGATATGCTTTTCAGGTTCCAGAGCTTGCAACCTCCAACGTGTAGCAAGGGCAGCTCTCATGTATCTGTATTGATAGATTTCATTTTAAATACTTGTTGTGTAGGCCAGTAATGTTTCTTAGACATTAGGTTTTTAGTTATGCTATGTAAAGTTCACGTCGTTTTTCTGTACAAAACTTTGGATATAAAAAATATGGATTTTTTTTTTTATTCCCTCTTCAGGAGCCAATGATCTACCACAGACAGAAGGGCAGGAAGATCTACGTGATGTGCTTAAGAAAACACTGGAATTTTGTTTATCTCGGTATGAAATTTTGAAAGTCTTATATATAAGTTCATAAGTCTTATAAGTTCATGTGCATGTAAAGGCACTCGTCACAACACTTTTGGCAATTTAGTGTATATCTCTGGTGTGTACTTTTTGCCGTTAATCTCACGTTCTATGGCAGGTTTTGGTTTATCTGTATAATGTCAACCTAAAAAATATTCCTAATTTACCTATTGATTGTGTTGACTTATTTGAGCAATCTGTAGCCTGTGAACATGGCAATCTGTTAATATAGAAGGCACAGAGGAACATTAATGGAAAAAAACTCCCAAACTGATCTACTTGACCTTTCATAATACAGGTGAAACTCGAAAAATTAGAATATTGTGCAAAAGTTCATTTATTCCAGTAATGCAACTTAAAAGGTGAAACTAATATATGAGATACTCATTACATGCAAAGCAAGATAGTTCAAGCCGTGATTTGTCATAATTGTGATGATTATGGCTTACAGCTCATGAAAACCCCAAATCCACAATCTCAAAAAATTAGAATATTACATCAATAAAACAAGGATTGTACTTAGAACAATATCGGACCTCTGCAAAATATAAGCATGCATATGTACTCAGTACTTGGTTTGGGCCCCTTTTGCAGCAATTACTGCCTCAATGTGGCGTGGCATGGAAGCTATCAGCCTGTGGCACTGCTGAGGTGTTATGGAAGACCAGGATGCTTCAATAGCGGCCTTCAGCTCTTTCTGCATTGTTTGGTCTTATGTTTCTCATCTTTCTCTTGGCAATGCCCCATAGATTCTCTATGGGGTTTAGGTCAGGCGAGTTTGCTGGCCAATCAAGCACAGTAATCCCATGGTCATTGAACCAGGTTTTGGTGCTTTTGGCAGTGTGGGCAAGTGCCAAGTTCTGCTGGAAAATGAAGTCAGCATCCGCATAAAGCTCGTCTGTGGAAGGAAGCATGAAGTGCTCCAAAATCTCCTGGTAGATGGCTGCGTTGGCCCTGGACTCAATGAAGCACAGTGGACCAACACCAGCAGATGACATGGCTCCCCAAATCAACACAGACTGTGCAAACTTCACACTGTACATCAAGCATCTTGCAGTGTGTGCCTCTCCATTCTTCCTCCATACTCTGGGTCCTTGGTTTCCAAATGAGATGCAAAAGTTGCTCTCATCAGAAAAGAGGACTTTGGACCACTGAGCAACAGACCAGGTCTGTTTTTCTTTAGCCCAGGTAAGATGCTTCTGACGTTGTTTGTTGTTCAGGAGCTGCTTGAGAGGAATACGACATTTGAAGCCCATGTCCAGGATCTGCCTGTGTGTGGTGGCTCTTGATGCTCTGACTCCAGCCTCAGTCCACTCTTTGTGAAAGTTCCCAACACTTTTGAATGGCCTTTTCCTGACAATCTGCTCCAGGCTGCGGTCATGCCTGCTGCTTTTGCACCTTTTTCTTCCACACTTTTCCCTTCCACATAACTTTCTATTAATGTGCTTTGATACAGCACTTTGGGAACATCCAACTTCTTTTGCAATTACTTTTTGAGGCTTTCCCTCCTTATGGAGGGTGTCAATGTTGGTTTTCTGCACAACTGTCAGGTCAGCAGTCTTTCCCATTATTGTGATTCCTACTGAACTGGACTGAGAGACCATTTAAAGGCTCAGGAACCCTTTGCAGGTGTTATGGCTTAATTAGCTGATTAGAGTGGGACACTTTGAGTCTAGAATATTGCACCTATTTACAATATTCTAATTTTCTGAGATTGTGGATTTGGGGTTTTCATAAGCTGTAAGCCATAATCATCAGAATTATGACAAATCACGGCTTGAACTATCTTGCTTTGCATGAAATAAGTCTATCTCGTATATTAGTTTCACCTTTTAAGTTGCATTACTGAAATAAATGAACTTTTGTGCGATATTCTAATTTTTCGAGTTTCACCTATACACCCTTAATTGCCAAAAGTATTAGGACACCTTTTCAAATCATTGAATTCAGGTGTTCCAATCACCTCTATGGCCACCAGTGTATAAAGTCAAGCTTTTAGGCATGCAGACTGCTTCTACAAACATTTGTGAAAGAATGGGTCACACTCAGGAGCTCAGTGAATTCAATCTTGGTACTGTGATAGGTTTCCATCTGTGCAATAAGTCCATCCGTAAAATGTCCTTGCTACTAAATATTCCATGGTCAACTGTTAGTGGTATTACAACCACTTGGAAGCAAGTGGGAACAGCAGCAATTTAACCACGAAGTGGTAGGCCACGTTAAATGACAGCGTGGTGTCAGCGCGTGCTGAAGCGCACAGTGTACAGAAGTTGCCAACTGTCTGCAGAATCAATGGCTAAAGACCTCCAAACTTTGTGTGGCCTTCAGATTAGCACAACAGTGTATAGATTGCTTCAGTGAAATGGATTTCCATGGCCGAGCAGCTGCATCCAAGCCTTACATCACCAAGTGCAATACAAAGTGTGTAATGCAGTGGTGTAAAACACGCCGCCACTGGACTCTAGAGCAGTGGAGACGTGTTCTCTGGATTGACGAATCGCGCTTCTCTGTCTGGCTATCCGATGGACGTGTCTGGGTTTGGCGGTTGGCAGGAGAACGGTTCTTACCTGACTGCATTGTGCCAAGTGTAAAGTTTGGTGGAGGGGGGATTATGGTGTGGGGTTGTTTTTCAGGAGTTGGGCTTAACCCCCCCAGTTCCAGTGAAGGGAACTTTTAAGGTGTCTGCATACCAAGACATTTTGGACAATTTCATGCTCCCAACTTTAGGAACAATTTAGGGATGACCCCTTCCTGTTCTAACAGGACTGTGCAGCACTGCACAAAACAAGGTCCATAAAGACATGGATGAAGAGAGTTTGGGGTGGAGGAACTTAACTGGCCTGTCCTGACTCCAACAAAATTAAACACCTTTGGGATGAATTAGAGCAGAGACTGCGAGCCAGGTCGTCTTGTCTGACATCAGTGCCTGACCTCAGAAATGCGCTTTTGGAAGAATGGTCAAACATTCCCACAGACACACTCCTAAACTCTGTGGACAGCCTTCCCAGAAGAGTTGAAGCAGTTATAGCTGCAAAGGGTGGGCCAACTCACTATTGAACCCTACGGACTAAGACTGGGATGCCAATAAACTTTATATGCGTGTAAAGGCAGGCATCCCAATAATTTTGGCAATATAGTGTATATCTTTGTTGGATCCTGGCTCATAAAATATACAGAATTTGAAGTATCCTCATTTTTACTGTTAAAGCAGATCTTAATGTTGTAATCCACCCAGATGCCTGACAGGCTGCTGGCTCAGTCTTTTGGCTCGCCACTGAATTCCTAAGCCAGTCACTTCTGCCCCTTCCACAGCCCGGCATTCCAGAGAGCGCTGGAAAGGCAGAGCAGAGAGCAGTGACTGATAGTCACCACTCTGCTCAGAGTGGACTGAGAACTGAGTGAACAGCGGTTGTGATTGCTCTTTTCTTGGTTTTAGAGCTGACTGGGGACAGCTGCAGCATCAGACTGATGCTGCAGTCATACATGTGACCTATGTGTGTTGATTCCCACACTTTCTCTTTTTAAGATGTAGTGTGATCATGTTTTAGAGACCTTTATTTTTTGCCCAGCCTTAACCACTTTAGTAATAGTCTGCAATACTTCTTCATTACAAGGCCATTGTTCAGTTTCCAGTGCTCTTATGGTTTGACTGACAAATACTCTGTCATGCAATACAATACCCAGATGAATTCTATATTTTTTTTTTTTTTTTTTTTTTTTTTTTTTTTTTTTACTATGAAAAGAAAAGTTCCATTTTTTTCCTTTTTGCTAAAAAATGTATAAAAAATACTAACAGAACAAAGCCCAGAAATGTATCTTTTATTGTAAAGTGGACTCCTTAAGGTGATCTCATTTTTTTTCCTCACAAATTTATGGAAGTAAAGAAACCTGCTGGTATTGCAGGAAATTAAAACCTGGAGCCTGGTAATGGTGCACAAGATGTATAGGTCATACACAGAGGGACGGTGGAGATGAAGAGGTTTATGTACACATGTGCAGGATGGGAGAGGAGTTAGTGCACAGATCACATAGAGACTGGCTGCAGATTAGATGTACATTATACCCTGAATCTGCTGCAGCCATTGTTCTGGAACTAATGAATGATTCATTAGATCCACATTCCTCCCCTTGTGGGGAAGGGATGGTCCTTCAGATGTAAACACTACACTGTTTACATGCATTTGCAGCAATTGATCATCACAGGGACCAAGATGATACAGAGATGCTTGGATCAGCTCCTGTGTACTGCATCTGTAAACCAAGCTATCCAATGACAGCTCAGCTCACAATTACTATTGGGTGCACTGTCTGAGAGTTATTTCTGCAGTGCCTGTTTTTAAATAGAAATGTCTACCCCTTTGCTGTTCTTTAACCACATATGTACCAGCCATAGGTTTTTGAAGTTAATATGGTCTGTGGTGCACTCTAAAGCTGAATAAAAAAAAAAAAGTCGGAGGCACCATCTACTAATTGGTGGCCATACAATGTTTTTCATTTCCTATTTAGTATGTTCACACCTAACTCCATTTTAGTTATTATTCAGAGTTTTATGGCATGCTGTAGAGATTGTGATGATCACAGTATTTAAATTAGATGTTTTATATGTTTTCTTTACAGAGAGAACCTTGCCAGTGACATGTATCTTATATCACAAATGGACAGTGATCAATATGTGCCAATTATGACCGTAGCAAATCTGGACCATGTCAAAAAGCTGAGCACTGACATGGACTTAATAGTTGATGTATTGAGATGTGAGTATTCTTTCCTACTGCACTGCATTTTGCATATTGTAAGTCTTGCAGTTCTTCCACCATCTATTCATCTGTCACATCCGGACATACTGTACTACTTATTTATTGCCAGTCTACTTTAGGTAGGTGACTGTCCTTATACATTGGAGGCCCTGGTATTGTCCACTTGTAAGCTGTTAATCATTATCACAGTTGGCGCATGTTAAGGTGATGCTCGTTTAAATGCCACTGTGTTTTCCATACAGGGCCTGATTCCACTGTGTTCAGTGTTTTTACAAATTAGCACACACTGACAAAATCACATTTGTGTTTAGTAGTTTTTTTTGTTTAATGCGCATTATAAAAAAAATTTCCTTTGATTCGGAGCAATTGAAATGAAATCGTTTTACAATTAAATTAACTTTTCTAAATCAAATCAAAGCACAGTAATGCCTGCATTTTTTAGTGTTAACAAACTGCTTCTAATAATCACGAGATAAACAGAAAATAGTGTTGGGGCAGATGTTTTTTATTTTAAGTCATATTGCTGAAAAATAAGTTACCAGTTAGATTAGGTTTTATACAGCCAGGCAGCTCATCTAGTCTGCCATATTTTACAGCTAGCCTTTTCTCTCAACTGGGGAAGACTGTTGTAATAAGGAATTACAATTAGAATCTGTCTTTGCAGATACTGTATTGTTTTTGCTGTAATTGTCTTCAGGTGTACCTATCATTAATCACTCTTCAGTTAAGTTTAGTGCAAATGTCAACATTATGGAATCTGTTGCTTTTCATTAATAACAATTCTGGTCCTAGGTTCCCTCATGTGACCTTTTAGTGGTAATAAAAGTTTGTCCAGTTCCTGATGAAATGTCATCTGTGGGTGGCCATTTCAATATCCTCCCACCTGACCTCCGTTGATTGAACAAATGTAGGAGTCGGGCAGAAAACTATGATCCAGGCAGTGTACAAGTATTGAAAGCTAGCGGTACTGAGTACAGTAACCACAGCTGGAGATTCGTCCACCCACCGGCTATATTTAAAAAATAATCTGTGTATGGCCAGCTTTAAGCCTAGGCAGCTACGATCAAGTGGTCTCTGGATAAATGGATCATTCTAAGTTGTTTCATATTTGGCCCCCTATTTGTAGAGGAGACCAAATAACTGCTATCTGCTTTTCTGCTGGGCACTACAGCGCCACAGTGTTTACTCCACACTTTGTCTACATTTTACAACTATTTAATTAAATGCAGGCAATGTTGTTGTAGCAGCCAAGCTGGGCTTCCTATGCTATATGTGTAAAGAGTGGATTTTGCTGTCCCTTGCACATGTATGATTACAAGGTTATGCAACAGAGTTTCCCAAGTCATCTTCCAGGGGAGCTTACTTGAGAGAGCGGCTCCTCCCACCAGGAAACACCTGATCCACTTTTCTTAGTAGTCTTGCCATCCCTGGGGTCCTCAGTATTGGTGTTTCCTCTGGCCAGGACTGACACTACCCCTGTTTATTTTCACTCAAGATGTCTGACTGGGTACAGAGGCCTCCTGGATGAGGCCACCTTTCACAAAGCAAGGCAGGGGCCTTGTGGGCTGGCTTCATTCAGGGCTATCCCATATGATTCTTTCCGAGAAAGTGGCAGAGTGAGGGGATGAGTGCATTGTGCCAAGTGTAAAGTTTGATGTAGGGGGTATTTTGGTGTGGTGTCTTTCAGGAGTTGGGCTTAACCCCTTAGTTCCAGTGAAGGGAACTTTTAAGGTGTCAGCATACCAAGACATTTTGGACAATTTCATGCTCCCAACTTTAGGAACAATTTGGGGATGGCCCCTTCCTGTTCCAACATGACTGCATGCCAGTGCACAGAGCAAGGTCCATAAAGACATGGGTGAGCGAGTTTGGGGTGGAGGAACTTTGGGTAGTGTGCCTGCACAGAGTCCTGACCTCAACCCGATAGAACGCCTTTGGGATGAATTAGAGCAGAGACTGCGGGCCAGGCCTTCTCGTCCGACATCAGTGCCTGACTTCACAAATGCACTTCTGAAAGAATGGTTAAACATTCCCATAAACACACTCCTAAACTTTGTGGACAGCCTTCCCAGAATAATTGAAGTTGTTATAGCTACAAAGGGTGGGCCAACTTATTATCGAACCCTACGGCCTAAGACTGGGATGCCATTAAAGTTTGTGTGTAAAGGCAGGCATCCCAATACTTTTGGCAATATTGTGTGTGTCTGTATATGTATATATGTATATGTGTGTGTATATATGTATATATATATATATATATATATATATATATATATATATATATATATATATATACACACACACACACACACACTTCTCCATGGTGTCTATTTACAATTTACACCCCAGGGAGCTTTTTTTTTTTTTTTTTTTTTTTTTTCTTCTTCCAAATTTGCACTCCTGGGTGGCAAGGGGCTCTATTTTCTTTATCCCAAGACCCCAGGTGATGTAAATAGAAATGTGCATTCTGCAAGAAAAGACACTAGCTCTTGGAGAAAACAGCTGTGCCAGGAATGTATTGACAAGCTGGTTAAAAAAAAAAGAACCGGGGTCCCTCTTTAAAGATTCCTTACAATCCATGACAAAAGAAATGTCCAAAACCTTTCAAAATTTTAGGGAACAAATGCAAGAGCTGTCCCTGGATGAGCCTCAACCTGGCACCTTGGGTATCTTTTTACCAGCCAAGAAGAGAAAACAGGACCATAGCATTTTTGTGGATCTGGAGGAGGAGTTGCACAGCTCCTCACTCAGAGGAAGGAGAAATTGAAGTCGCAAAGATTGCTTTTTTCCAGTAGAAGATACGGGGGGGGGGGGGGCTCTTAAAAGTAATGTACGACACTCTAGACCTGGAGGAAGAACAGCCGAACCACTCATTGTGTGACCAGCTATACGCAGGGCTACAAAAGAAAAGTTGTCGCACGTTTTCAGTCCTATTCCACACTAACAGCCACAAAAATAAGTTGTGTTTTTTTTTCTCCCTAAAAATAAGGCGATTTTCCATTTAAAGAGCAACATGCATCACTATGGGAATCCTGCCCAAAACTCGATGATCCCATTTCATAAATTTCAAGAAGAACGAATCTGTCATTTTAAAGATGAGGGCTCACTGAAGAACCCAATGAACAGTAAAGCTGACACATTTCTTAGAAGAGCTTGAAGCATCCACAGTAAAACCAGCAGTAGCAACGACTTGTTTTTCCCGAGCCCTGGATCTGCTGTTAGGCCAGCTCTACTCTCACCTAGAACAAAGTACACCGGCAGATTAAATGATCAAATCACTACCAGTTTTGGAAAAGGCAATGGCCCTCATCATGGATGCATTGTCTGAAACCATAAAATATACAGCAAAATCGACAGCTCTCATAAACTCAACGGAGACAGCGATTTGGCTGAAGTCCTGACTGGGGGCACCACATCCAAATCCAGACTGTGCGGCCTGCCTTTTGAGGGAAAGCTCCTCTTCAGCTTAGAAATTACTTCGGTTCTCTAGAGATCCGCCGATATAAAAAAAAGAGTATTCCCAGTTCCCAAGGCAAGCAGTACAAAAATGTTTTCATCCCTACAGGCAGTGCTTAACTAAAGAAGCTAAATTCCAAGGCCAGAAAAGAGGCTGGTTGGCAAAGAAAGGAAAAAGGTTTCCTCTTCAACCAGGATAAACCCAGTCTAAATGACTGGCAGAGCCACATGGGAGGAAGGCTGGGACACTTCAACAGGCAATGGCTACAGACTGGTAATCAGATTCCTGAGGGCCATCGCTAGATGTAGAAACCCATCTACATCCAAAGTCCCCGTCTGGGACTTAGGAACAGTTTTTAAGAAGTGTCCAACGGGAGCCATTTGAGCCCTTGGGAAACATGTTCAGTCAGGTATTTAACGCTCAACATCATTCTCTTAGTAGCCTTAGTTTCTGCTCGCAGAATCAGCGAATTGCAAGCACTGTCAGTAATAGTCTTACTGCACAATCCTAATTGATTAGATTACCTTTAATCTTGACCCTGCGTTCCTGCCAAAAGTCGCATCAAACTTTCACAGAAGAGATTGTGATACCATCATTTTTGGGAACCCAAGGAAGGAGACTATAACAAAATTGATGTAGAAGATCATCCCTAATTGCGTGCATCGAGCTCACAAAGGAGTGGAGAAATTCATCCAGCCTCTTTGTCTTGTTCCTAGGACCAAAGAAGGGTTCCAAAGCCTCTAAAGACACCATTGCAAGATGACCAAAGGAAGCTATTACAGGATACAAAACTGCGGCACTAACGCTACTGCCTGGCTTGAAGGCTCGTTCAACTAAGGCCACTGCAGCTACATGGACAGATCTGCAAAGCCGCTACATGGTCCAATTGCAGTCAAGCATTTGGCAGAAAGGTCTTGCAAGCAGTAGTCCCACCCTATTGTACAAATTCCTATTCAGTCCTCTCATGTGAGCTGTCCTGCAAGATGACTTGGGAAAAGGGCTATTTACCTGTTAACTGTATTTTCAGGAATCTTTCAGGAGAGCATAGTTCCGTGCGACTGTACATATATTGGCTACTGTTATATTTATACTCTATCCTAGACCTTCGGTTACAGTGCCTTGAAAAAGTATTCATACCCCTTGAAATTTTCCACATTTTGTCATGTTACAACCAAAAACAAATGTATTTTATTGGGATTTTATGCGATAGACCAACACAAAGCGGCACATAATTGTGAAGTGGAAGGAAAATGATAAATCGTTTTCCAAATTTTTCACAAATATATAATGTATTAAAAAAAAAAAGTGTGCTTTTGTATTCAGCCCCCTTTACTCTGATACCCCTAACTAAAATCTAGTAGAACCAATTGCCTTTAGAAGTAACTTAATTAGTAAATAGTTCACCTGTGTGTAATTTAATCGCAGTATACAGCATTAGTGAACAAACCGCATCATGAAGGTCAAGGAACACACCAGACAGGTCAAGGATAAAGTTGTGGAGAAGTTTAAAGCAGGGTTAGGTTATAAAAAAAATATCCAT